GTCTCGCTGTAGAAATCTAACGGATGTTCCTGGTAGTAGCATAGAGCATCGCTAAGAAACGATCCGCTCGTGTAACCTTGTTCGGACGTATCCTGATCTCTATCGTTAATACCAATGGCGTTGTGCATTTGTCTGTACTGGTGCGGTTCGGTCATAAGGTCAGCAAAGAATGCAGTGTGTCTGATAGAGACTTGGATACGTGGTATATCGGACGGAGATGCAGGGTTTATAACTCCATGTACCCGTGTACTCTTCAGCAATTCCTGCAGCACTCGTATATAGAAGAAATCAAACTCTGATCGTGTTACATCACCCCACATAGTATCCGGAACTGTATTATCTAACCAATCTCTCCCTGACCATACACTGATTGTGGATCCAAAGGTGTTGACTGTTTTTGAGGCTGCTTCGGATGGGTTCCACAGCACACCCTCGTGGACTCGGTTAGCTAACGAATAAACAATAGCGTCCGTGAGTCGCTCAGTAAACTGTCCACCGCCTGCATCGGTCTGGTTCATTTGCACACCGTCCAGGGTATCAGCTGTTTCGTTCCATGGTTCTGGCCAGCTGGAAGGTGCATTAGCGGCACGACACGGCTCCTCGTACCTCATTTCTTTGAATGGTCCATCTAACGACGCAAACGGAGCTTCGTTAATAATACGTGTATGATCCTTCTTCTTACGTAGCGGATCATACAACCCTCCTCTCAACGCCACACGGACCTTAATAAACGGTGCACCCCTATGAACTCCTGGCTGCTTTTCATTCAATGCCATCTGGTGCATCCATTGTTGATGGTGACAGTTAAGGAAAAATTGACCAAAGAACCGCTGACGCGCCTCAGTCTTAAACTTGTAGTCGTAGTACTGAGTGCCTTCGACGAGGTCCGGATCCTCATACAGTGAGTATAGTTTATTAGTGGCAGGGTCGGTTGGCCAGTTTGATGCTATCACATTAGTTTCACCCTGATTCTTTTCCGAGAATCCGGGTGTGAGATCATATATCCTGTCTGGATCTACACTGAACGGGTACCATTTTTCGGCGAGGGTTAACGATTCAGGGAGATTTTCTGCTACTTCGGGTTTGTATATAGGGATAGTGTAGTCTACATAAAAGATATCGTCCTCAATACCAAACTCTTGATACACAATACCATTACGCGGAGTCTGGTTTACACCTGTAAGAGTTAAAGTGGTTTGACCGGTAACAGGGACTCTAACATTTTCCATAAACCTCAAGTTGTGATCAAAATCAATGTATCCGTCACCCACATCAAAATTCTCGATTTCGTCATTTAAGTGGTCTCCGGGGAGGTACAGTGTACGAGTATTAGTTACCTGGGTCATTGTGGTATCGTATACTAGTAAGCTTTACAAAATTTTCAGTATTCAAGTGTAGTTTATTCATATCATTGTTCTTGTTTATCTTTGTTGTCGTCACTGTTTTCATCGCTACTGTCGTTATCTGTGTCCGTAGACATTTCATCGCTACTGCTCGACTCTGTATCACTCCCACCGAGCATGATCTGGTAATCAAAATTCTTAAACATCCTGGCATCGCTTTTAATGTATAGGAAATCGTGGGCATCGTTAAACACTTGTCGCACTAGACTACGCCACTCGTCGCGTTTGAGATCGCAGAATTCTTTTCGCAGCACGTCCTGTTCCTGGATTGAGTTGCTAAAGAACCAGCACACATCGCTTACATGAGCTCTAACCTCTGAGGGGACCTTGTTTAGTTTCTGTGTAATGATAATCAACGCAATACCGGCATGACGGCGATTCTGTGCTGCCTTAATAAGTTCAGGGATATTACCCTGCTTAGCAAACTCGTGGGTTAGATCGTCAATCACGATACAGGCATGGTGTCCGGCGTTACGCTTCTTCTTCTCCAGCAACTCTTCGTATAGAGCAGGGAACGTCTCTAGCGATTCTCTTATCTGGTCTTTGGGTATGTTGAGCTTTGCCTTCATCGTGTGCACCGAGGGACTAAATATGTAGACCTTGTCGAATTTCCGATGATAGAACTTGCTGGGCAATGTGAGTAGGTTTAACATCAAGTTGGTCTTACCGCTCCCCGGTTTCCCAATAAGCATAAAGAAGATGTTTCTCTTTGGTAATGGATCAGGGATCTGCTTCAGATCGGTGTCACAGCTCATGGGCATTGCTTCGATAGATACTTTCCCATGGTTCCGCACACGCTTCAGCGATACCTCTACCTTGTTGCTAGCCACCATGGTATTGGGTTGTTTGTTGTTATGTTGCAGCACAGTACACTGTTACTAACCACCCTACAAAAAATTCACAGTCTAAGTAAAGACAGCCACCTCGTGGGCTCCACTCATGATGAGCGTGTTGGAATGGATCACGTAGCAGTTAAGCTGAATGTTACCCAGAGTCACACCACCGTATTTTTTCTGGTTACCCACCAAGGGGTGATTGCACTGGACGGACAGTACAATGGGTGTACTTTCAGATGCGGTGTCAATACCTGAACTAGCACCTCCCTCACGTTCAAAGTCCAGACCAAGCACAAAGGATCCGTAACGGTACATGTTAATATCGATAGCTGGAGCGTAGTTTACGTCGCCAAACAAGGAGAGCGCCTTCATGGTCTCACACCATGCACGACTGAGTTTGACCGAACTAACGGGTTCATTGAGCCCACCTAGATTTCCAGTGGCTGTGGTGATTGGCTGTAACGGTTTCTGGTACGCTCCAATACGGACTTGAACCTCCTGAAGTGCTAGGGATCCGGCACTCATGAAACTGTTATGTTCAATCGAGTTGGCTAGACCCACCACTTGCGGGAGGAGCAGAAGCGATTTAACGTTACGTGATCTGTGCTGCAGCATAAGATCGTTCCTCTGAGTAAGAGGGAATGAGTAGTGTGTCGATGTGACATATGGTATATGAATTGAACGCTCCGCCAGACTCGCCTCGAACGCCATTAGGTAAGAGTCGTCCATCTGTAAAATATCAATATGGTATGCAAAATCTTCCAAGGTGTAACTTGCCACCGGTGTGAATACACCGTTCGTGATTGCCTGATTATGATATCCTGGGTCGGGACCAGGTAAACCTGCGTCTGAAAACAAGGCTGGGTTTTTAGGTTTGTATGCCTTTAGTACCGTAGACGCCTGGTCCAAGGTAATCTCTAACACCACTTCACCTAGATGACTCAGCGGTAGGTATCGTTGATTATTCAACAGACCCATCATTGGAGTGTGGTAATACTCGCGACCATGTTTGGCGTCCAGGATCTGGCGTGACTTGTAGCAGTTAAAGATACGACGGTCCTTTATAGTATCGCTAAAGTAGCCTTTGTCCTCACCCTCGGGCCAAATAGCAGCCATCTTAATAGTACTAGCATCTTCAAAATTCTCGTTGAGCTCGTTAATCAAGTCACCAGCAATAAGTGTATTATCACGCTGACCTTCTGTTACCGTATATTCAAGTACCGAATTGTCACTAAAGTTTAGAAGTTCCATCCGTTTACCATTGCCTGATTCGTCCGGAGTGAAGCGAGGTGTATAGTAGGATCCTGCAGCACTGCCATAGAAGCCGAGCTCTTCACCAGCAAACGAATCAGCTAGATCCTTAGGAGCCGTAGTTCTGAACAGGGTGTTGCACAGCTGGTTGTAGGAGTAGATATCTTCAACAGTTTGACCTCCGATAAGTAGACGCATACGGTGAAAAGGGGTACCTGACGAGCAGAACAATCCCCCCATGACTGTATCACTGTCCCCTCCATTCTTAAAACGTGTAACTCAAGAATGAGTTCTGAGTGTCCAGGAATCCTGTAGAAGGGAGTGTGATACGTACAAGTCTATTTCCGTCACTGGAAAATGTCGTGCTCTGCTGTGGCAAAACTTTAATACTAGACCGACTTTGCACGTGACTAAACTCTTCAGGAATATAGACACTAGAGTCAGAGACTTTAAAAAAATGGTTAGCGGACAAGGGATCACGGCGTGACATTATGAGTATAAGTGTAAGTCGAGTGTAGAGTATACGTCTAGCTATAATTACATATGGAGAAAATTTTACAAGGTAAAGTTTATTGATATATATTTTCGCCACGGATAGGTCTACTTTTCGCCACGGATGCGTTTTGCGAGACGCATATCATGTGCCGAAATGGTAGTACGATTGCCATGGATAGCACACAGGTTAGAGTGACGGAACAACTCTATAAGGTAAGCTTCA